CAACTTTGTAGCAGGTCTAATGTCTTCTGTGGCCCTTTTGCCCTATTAGATCTTCACCCTCCCTTCAGAACTAGGAAAGACCAGATTGATTGATTGATTGATTGTATTAGATGCTTTTGTTCTTTCTGACACACAAGGAAACTCAGTCTTTCCATCTCCATCTTGCTTCTTGCTATGTGATAGCCTTTTACTATGACAGCACCTTCTTTCTCAGGGGTTTCTTATATGTCTACAGGCAGATAAAGAAGAACATAATCTTATGCCTCCAGTTACCTAGGAACCAAACTGTAGTGAACTAGCTGACTTTTCTAATACATAGTTTTAATGAGGTACAGTATTTTGTGGCTAATGGAATTGTAATAACTGTGCTTGACAACCATTTTAAGCACCTTGCTACAGATTTATTTAATAAGGATGATTGTTTGAACGTCTTCCATTTAGAAGGAACTGAATAGCTTAGTGTGAGGATTGTTAATGGAATATTTCTGAGCCACGTAGAAGCATTAGCTGCTGTCCATATGTTATGGATAAACAGAAGACTCCAGTTTGGAGTGCTACCACTCTAGAAACTTTCTGCAGGATGACTTTCATATATTAAATGATGCAATTTTTATTTGATATTTGGAAATTATTGGTTTTTATCACACAATCTGGATATTTTTCCCTAAACCATTATAATTGAAAAATGGCACCACAGGATGTAAGTATCTCTTTCTGAGTCTTGCAAAGATTTTACTGTAAGATAATCATGAAGATCACTGCTCTTCCCAGCATCAGCCTTCTTAGATCTTACAAGGAATTTATGATGCAGATGGTGCTATTACTGATCATTACTTTGTGTGAACTGAATTTCCACAAAGGTGTTCAAAGTAGACACAATTGGATTTAGAGGAGAGCTTTTAAGTGGCCACAGGCTGAAAGGCCCTTGTAGTAAAGCCACTTCATTCCCTTGCTATCCTGTCTCATTCCAACACCTGTTAGGTTTCTGTTCAATTCTTGGAGAACACCTTACATGTGTTCTAAATTTGGGGTGGCCTTTAAGACCACAGCCTTGCTTGTTCTCAAAGTAAATTTCACTTGCCACCAACACAAAATTCTGACTAGGATACTGCAAGTTCAGACTCAGAGTTTCTTAAATCTACTATGGGCTTTTCTTGCACAGGGTATAGTTTGTTCCTGAGTTTTTAGATGTTCCTTCCTACTTAATCTCCATCTCTTATGTAATAAACAGAGGCAGCAGCCTCTCTATACCTAAGGTTGCAGCCAAGGTCTTAATCAAAGGCTGATCATAGCTGTCTTTCACAGCTAGAGATCAAAAGCCTCAAAAATGGTGCTTTTTCCCCCAAATTGCCTACCATTTCTATGGCTCCTTTTTTGTACCTACTTATCTGATTATGTGGACTAATAGATATCCATTCCATTTTACAGACTTGCTAACCTGAGTCACCATTCACTGGCTTCCAAGATTTTTTTTCACCTACAATTGTCTTTCCTCTATCGGCTAGCTCCTGGACTTTCCTCTGCATTTTCTCTGCTTTGGTTCCAGGCAGAGAGCTTTGCCTCCTCATGTAGCAATCAGCCAGATGACAGACCATTATAGATCCTGAAAGGTTCTTGATGTCAAAATTTAAACCCCCCTCTCATTATACCTTTTGCCTATGTGGAAGAGGCCTAGTCCCACACTTTCCCTTCAATCGTATAACAAAGGCCAGAACAATGTTGGAAAACCACTAGGCTCCTCTGAGATCCCAGTTTTTGTGTTTACCCTCATCTGCTCACCTCAACAGGCTGCATATGTTTGGACCTAAGGATCCTGTTTCTCCTCCCATGTCACAGAAGATAATGTATTTCACAAGTTTTATAAACTGTATTCTGATGTCCCCACTCTCCAGTCTTGCTCCTTCTTTAGGGCTAGGGGTACTCTTTATTTGCTTAAAAAACAACAAATAGACTAGTAGCACCTTAAAGAATAACAAAACATATAGATGGCATCATGAGTTTTCATGGGCACAACCCACTTCTTCAGATGACAGGCTGCAATACACCCATATACCTTTCTGCAGGGACAGAGCACCTCTGCTGTATATATTAAGTTGGGGTCTTGTGAGTACTCTCATTTTATCACTCCTCTTCCTTCAGTGGGACAACAGGGAATGTTGTCTGAGTCCCTTACTCCTAAAGCATAGGCTTTCAGTAGGAAAAGAGTGACTTTCAAGCACTAAGAAATATTTTTCTGGAAGTTTATTCTAAGATTTTATCCTTAATGGGTCAAGCTGTGTAAACATCTAAGATGTCTCTTGCTAATGAAGCTATCCTGTTTCTATATAGTTACTCATCACCTCTTTTAATTATGATTCATCTTCTGTTCCTCAGTCAGACACTGTAAATGTAAGTCAGGATAAAAAAGAAAAAGCTCTGTAATTTGCATATCCCCCCACCTCTTTACTTCCCTGAGAGAAAAAGGAAGTATCTTCTTTATCTTCTATCTTCTTGCTCTTCAGAAGAGCCTGACATTGCTACTCTTTAATTCTGATTTGTGTTCATTAACCAAACCATATTGATTCTCCAATGAGCTTCTCAGCCTTTGAAAAGGACTCAAGGATTCACAGAAGGATAAGAAGTAACATTTCCTTGATACTGAAGGAGAGCACATTTCCTCTCCCCTAGAACTTGGCCAAAATAATCACTGAAATTTGCAGGTTCCCCACCTCTTAATTCCTATGTCTTTTCTACGTTCCCCTTGGCTAATAAACCCACTTAATCTTTGGGACATCTGATGTTCATTCTCCCTTCCCTTGTGGTGATCATGTTGAAGTGAGTGGCTAGACCACCTCCTTGTTCAAGGGGCCAGAACAATGAAGGGAGAACTCCCTAAAACTATCAAGATACTGGTTATTGTCTTTCCATTGGCTAGCTCTCTGGGGTAAATGAATTCAGACTTTGCTTTGCATTAATACTGACTGAAGATTTTTCCTAGAATGGGGAACCCTTGCCCATTAGGGGATTGGATTTCCCTGACCTCGGACCCATTAACAGCCCTTACCATCTCTCCGGAGTCTCTAGGCATATAAGATGCAGATCTGCTCTGAAAATCTTCATTTTTCACAATTAAACTTATTCAAGTATGCAGTGTTTCCCCAGATGTCTGCATTTTACTCTTTATAGATAGTGCCTAGAGATGCCTAGTCAGGCCACTCTTGCAGATTAGCATATAAAGTATGTGACCAAACAGACTGGTAGACTTCCAGTAATGTGAACTGATGCACCAATTTGCTTTGTTCATGCTGGATTTTTCTTTCTCCATTAAGGGGGGGACCAGAGGCAGTCACCCAGTGCAGTAGAAATTGTATTTGTGTGAATGTGTAATAATGGAAAAGTGTGTGCCCTCTGGCGGGCACTATAGAAATTCGGTGGATATGTTTATAATAGCATAACATCTGCGGTGGAAAATGCAAGAGGCAAAGATACCAACCCTGCTTTTTCAAATGACTGTAGAACTAAATAACTATGGGCAGGAGAGCTGCTGTTCACTTGTGCAGAGGCACAAATGAGAGTGATACAGCATTACCTGAGTAGGGGTGAGGACAGTTACAGCCTCACTATTCATCCCAAAAGCAGTAAGAGGATGGCCCAAATCACTTTTTCACTAACTAACAAATCTGGCAAGCTACACAGGGATCTGTTTCTGGAACCCCTCAAGTGAATCCACTCTCCTTGAGTAGGAAGAACTCCAGGAGGCCTCACTCCATAGGAATGTAACTAAAAGATGCACTCCTTATCTCAAATCTGTGTTTAAAGCACACAACAAACAAAAATCTTTGTTAGCTTTGGGGTGTCACTACAGGCAGTCCCCGGGTTACGTACAAGATAGGGACTGTAGGTTTGTTCTTAAGTTGAATCTGTATGTAAGTCGGAACTGGCGTTCAGATTCAGCCTGTTGAAACTGATCAGCGGCTGATTCCAGGAAGCCCCGGGCAGAGCAACTCTGCCTCGGGCTTCCTGTAGTCTGCCGCTGGTCAGTTTCAGCAGCAGCTGGCTTGGGGGTGTAGTTCCGACTTACATACAAATTCAACTTAAGAACAAAAC